GTGTAGTTAATCTTTTTTATTTTTCATAAAATTCAAACATATTTGTTGTTAATTTTCAATTTTCAAATAGTTTGTTTGACCCATAAAGTAAGAAATAAAAAACAGTGGGCGAAGTATCCACTTTTTGGATGATTCAAGTTAATTGAAATGTGTAAAAGTATAAATTCGATTTAAAGTACAGAAAATAACCCTAAAATTAATTTCAATGGTGTTCCAATCAAACCCTCATTGATTTTTGCAAATAAGCTGGTAAAGTTCTGGAATGGACGATCTTTCTGTAATTTCATTCTACATTTCCATTGATTTTTGCAAATAAGTTAATTTTTTAATTTATGATATCATTTTTAACGAATGTCATAAAACTACCCCCTCAAAGGTCTAAAGGAGAGCTTTTTGTTTTTTCAGTTTTGGTTAATAAAAGAAATTGAAGATATTGAAGCTATAAATATAAAATAAATTGAACAAATCGATAATTTTTACCTTTTTGGTCATTTTGGTGATTTTATGTTATTTTTTTGTTTTTTTTTTGCATAAAATAGCATCCTACTTTTGTTTTTTGTTTTTTTTTTACTTTTGTTTTTTATGGAGGGCAAAATGGGCAGATGGGTGACATTTTCATGGTTGTGTTGGACAGAAAATGGTCTCAGTGGTATTTTAGTCTTTAATTGACTTTTTTGTTTTCTGTTTTGTCTAACAAATAACTCCTTTATATTTACATCATTTAGAGGTACTTTATCTAATTAATCCTAACATAAGGTAAAAAAAAATTTAGTGAAATCAATTATTTTTACCTTTTTGGTCATTTTGGTGATTTTTAGTGAAATCGATTATCTTAATGCCAGCTATGCGTAGAGGGCATCTCTTTTGAATTTTAGAGGAGTGAAGGATCTGCCCTTTGGGAATAAGTGCTCATATTAATCATCATTTTTGATTTTCTAATACAGATATATTGTTATATCTAACTGAAATTCTCCCATAGATACCCATATTTAAAGCCTAAGGAAAACCTTATTTGCTACCTTAACAAGAAAATGCTATACGTATGGAAATTTGTGAACTACAAAGTGTTTGTGTAAACTTGTGTAATGATACTGAACTAATTGAAGCACAATAAGTTGAAATTTCTAAATGCTCATAAACACATAAATTAGAGAAAATTAACACTGAAATTATTATACTGTGATAGTTTCTTCTCAACCTAATGCAAACAAAGATGCATCCTAACCCTAACAAACAAACATATAATAAAAATTCCTATTATACCATTTTATAATCGTTTGATTTTATTACATTTTATACACCCCCGTTATATGAACACTGACTTATTTTTAAAAAATCATCATTTTTGTTAATTTCAAATTACATGATAAAACACCAAGCGGGAAATCAAATATAAAACCAAAATTTCACATGCTGTATTTCGAATTTTATGCACATTAACACTGAAAAATCAAATTTCGATTTTCAAGTTCAATCACCTAAAAAAAATTAGGTTTTACCTTGATTCCTCTTCTTCAAACGTGTTGCAGCATCAGAGCCATTAATTCTTGAAAACCTTTTTTCCAGATTTTGACCTCCATCCAGGTATCTTTCTTCTATACTATCTATTCATTCCTTTTTCAAAACCAAAATCGCCACTAAGGTTGAAAAAAAAAATCATTATTGATACCAAATTGATAATTTTTACCACAAAAGTCAGATCGAGTCTTCAATTTTTTACCCTTTTATTCACCTAGCACGCAGTGAGTTGCCGATTCCACAATCGGCCGCCGTCGCTACCCTCTACATCTTCATTGCCGTCGTTGCTTTCTTCTTTGCCTGCCGGAGTGTTTTGTTTGTCAAGGCTCGGCTTCTTAGTAATTCTTTGTTGTTAATTTTCAATTTTCAAATAGTTTGTTTGACCCATAAAGTAAGAAAAAAAAAACAGTGGCAACTTCAGATATGTTATTTCTGTGATTTCAATATCCAAAAATAATACATTGAATTTGAATGTATTATTTAATATAACTAATATGTAATTTGACATCTATGGTTATTGTTAATTTTTTTATAACTATAGTAAATTAATAGATTCAAACATGTCAACTTGATAAGTGTTATTTGGGTGATTTAAATATCGAGAGTAATAAATTGAGTTTTTATGTATTTTTTAGATTCAAACATGTCAACTTGATAAGTGTTATTTGGGTGATTTAAATATCGAGAGTAATAAATTGAGTTTTTATGTATTTTTTAGATTCAAACATGTCAACTTGATAAGTGTTATTTGGGTGATTTAAATATCGAGAGTAATAAATTGAGTTTTTATGTATTATTTAATATCTGTAACAATTGTTTCCATTGTTTTGAGTCATGAACAATAAATATTAAACCTTTTTTTTTGCAGATTCAACGAACAATATGGACTATAGTCAGGCTAAAGAAAAGAGAAAACTTAGAAAATTATATTTGGAAGTAACATTGGGCATCGAGTTTTTATTTCAAGGTTGTCTTTAACACCTTCATACAACAAAAATAAAAGTCAGGGTCAATCGTTAAAAAGGGTTGGGTTGTTTTTGCGAGAACCGGTTTTCTCACACGATCAGTTATACGTTGCTTTATCTAGAGTAAAGAGCAGAGAAGGATTGAAGTTATTAATTTTAGATAAGGATAATAATTTGACTAATAAAACTTCCAATGTTATGTTCAAGGAAGTATTTCAAAATCTATGTTGAAGTTTTATGTTTATTTTTTTTTAAATCAAATAAAGTTGTACTTACTTACCATCCACAATCAAATGCTTTTTTACATTTATTAATTTTTTTGGTCTATATAAAATTTTTAACTTACCTCCCGTGGTTTCCACGGGTTATAACCTAGTAAACAAAGGACATTGAAATGGAATGTTTCTAACTTGACCAAATTGATAAACGGAGAAAAGATTTGTTATTATTTTATTTCCTTTTGTGAATATCCATTCAAATGACATACATCCAAATTTACACGTGAAAATCATATTTTTCTAATAAAGAAAAGCATATTTTCCATAATATTTTGGAACACTAATCATTAAAAAGAATGTATTAAAAAAATCCATGAATTTATCAAATTTCAAGAATGGAATATGTATTTAACATATATTTATGTAAATTAGATTTGATGTTGGTTTTTTTTTTACAAGAAGCAAAATATTATAGTTCAATACATATCGATTAAAGACAAACGGGCAACAAGCTGCACCGCTATCCTTTCTGGATGACAAAACCAATTCTTTTGAAAACAACATTTGTGGATCTAGGAGATATGACATTAGAATGCATGACTCGTTGGACTCTATTAAGGAGCTCCACCGCCTCTGTTAAGGAGCTTTACAGAAATACCAGCACGCCGATAAGCATCAAAGAGAACATCTCGAACCACATCATGTCTATACTTGAAACCAGGGAGCTCTCTACAATGAACCGCGTGTTCCCCAAAGGTATCCAAACATGCCTTGCGACAAACTGGGCATATCTCGTCAATTAGGAATATGAGAATCATGGGGCGGTAACGAAGGATAGTTCGTCAATTAGATTTGGTTTTTATATATGTTTATTTACCAAGTTATATGAATTCTCAAAATATGATTATATACTCTATGAAATATTTTTTTATTAATAGAGAGTTACAACGCATATTTGAAACCATCTTCCGTAATATCATTTTTGTAGTAAAAATGTTGTAAAAAGTGGTGCTAATTATGACTCATTACATCATTTTTATAACAAAAATACTCTAAAGTCTACTTTTATAACCTATACATATCTTTTAAATACTTATTATATTTATTAGCTTTTTGAAAAATGGTCTTACATTTTTTATGATAATAATAACTTTATAAATTATATTATTACATATAACCAAATAATAAATTATTCGTATATAATCAATTCAAATCAAGTTAATAAAGCAAGACATATGGGTGTTATGATAAAAATACTCTATTAATATTATGTTGGAGTGGATGGACGCTAGACCTATTGCTAAATAGACAAAGTTAGGACTTTCGCTAAATAGACAAAGTTTCTACTAAGTGTGCTAGTTAGTATCATGACAAAATATTTTATGGTATTTGATGTTATCATTTACAATGTTAAATTTTATATAAATTGAGTATTGGTTGAAAATGTGTATTTTATGCTTAGTTTAGTACTTTAGTACAAATATCATATATAGGTTTAAATACATAATTATACAATCATGTTTCACTTTTATCGGTGTATATAAGGAAATTATATTTAAAACAAATCATACAGCCACGTTTAAATATATTTCGACAATATACATTATTTTAACGACCAACCTCTTAGATAATGATGGCATGGATCGTTTTATATCGTTTTACCATGTCCGATAAATCTATTTTCAATTCAAAACAACATTCAACTTTATGAGTTAAACTGATAAAAACAAACAATATAATTACGAAAATATACATTTTAACAGTTTATCATATATATTCCATTACGTACTTAAATTCAGAAGCAGTGTACGACTTAATAAGTACAAATATACCATTTTCCAGCTTTATCAAAATAGAAAGATGAGACATCTTTAGCTTAAATTAACAAAGCTAGAGTATGCTACAACTTTACATGCACAATGTGCAAACGAATACGACATCAGCTCTTTTGTTTGGGTCCACTTGATTTCAGAATATTGTACAACTGAGAAACGCAGTACAATTATTTGTTTTGCACGGGTCATTTTAGCTTTTGGGAATATGATTTGCATATAATAAGACTAGGGCCATTTCAAACTGAAATGTACAATCTTTGCTTCACAAAATACAACTCAGTCTAACTTTATCGACATTTAGTTACCCTACTTCTACAATGAGTAATTACCCACTTTACAACTTGTAATGCATGCAGTACAAATCAACATAGCTTTATCAAATATTGTTGGAAATGGAATGGGTCTCTTTGATCCCAAAAGGCCAAAACAATGTACAACATTAAATGCACGATGTGATAAAAGTACCATAACAATATATAACTTTTACTGCATAAGATACAAGTCAATACATAATGTTCAAGATTCAATCATTTTTGCCCTAGGAAAAGTAATTCCCACTTACAAAGATAAACAAAACTTCAAACATCATTCATAATAATCGACATACAAGAAAAGTTTTTTAAGTACTTAGAAACATGCGGTTTCTAGCAAGTAATGTAATGTTATATCTTTCTAAACTTATTTTTTTTAGCAGACACTTGACAGATAAAAGTCTAAATACACATTTAGACTTTTATCAGTATTGCGTCAAGTGTCTCTTAAAAATATTTTTTAACAGAACCCCTCAAACCCAACCATTACTATTTTTTTATAAATAAGTTGAGACGAATATAACATTACTATTTCCAGAACCCCTCAAACCCAACCATTACTATAGTTCTCATTAAACCCTTCATAAAACCTAAGTTCTAACCTCCCTCCAACCCTGTCTTCATCATCATCATCATCATCAATATCATCATCATCAATATCATCATCATCCCATAGCCCATCATCCAAACTCGCATAATCATAAAACGAATCCGTATCCGAATAATCCGAGCAACTATGACCTTCAAACTGATCCACAACATGTGGGCCCAACACCTTAACCATTACAGCCCTCTTATCCAGCCAATCTTGATCAAGTTTCACATCCCAACACCCTCTAACATCCAAGAACTCAAGCTCCTTACACTTCTCAATGATCTCCACAATGTTCTTGGTGTCAACACAGTTATACGCAATTTCAAGGTGCTTCAGTTTGGACATGGTGGCGGCAATTGCCACCGCCTCCTCCGCCTGCGGCCGCCGCTCTTGGATGTCAATCGGATGCATGTTTCGCCGGAATCCCACCAGAGACTTGCAGGATTTTCCGATAGCAGATAGTGCACGTGCACTTATCTTGCGACAGTAGCTTAAGTCCATGAAGGTTACAGCCAATAGCTTTGTAGATATTTGTTCCACAATCGTATCACTTATGTTACATCTTGGGATTTGGAGTGTTTGTAGTGATCGACAACTGGGGTGCCCAAGAAAAAGAAAAATCAGCAAATGAGAGTTGTTAGCGTTATTATGATTATGTAGCTACTATTGTACTTGAAAAAAGCTTTAATCACAATATGGTCCCTAGACTATATATAAATACAATAATAGCTTGGAATGATAAAGAAGGGAAGCCGAAGGTTTAACAGAATATTGTACTCGCGAGAAATCAGTGTACTTTACACGCCTAAACATGAAAAAGAAAGAAAACAGTCTAATGACAAGAATAGTCCCTAGACTATGTATAAATACAATAATAGCTATAATAATGCTAATTGATGAGGTGTATTTGGCAAATTCTGATTTTTATAGAAAGTAATACTACTATATGAAATTAAAGGTAAGATACTACTACCCTTGATGTCGGTTTTGTTACAGCAAGTATCAAACTTATTATTTGAGTATACTAAATAACTTGATCGCAATAAATGAAAATCACTTTTAAATCTCACGTTCAAACTCATGTAAATTTTAAACTATGAAGAGAGGGAGAGACAGAGGGTTTGTGTGGCTTACTGATCTGCGAGAAATGAGAAAGTGAGATCATTGAGGATGCCGGAGACAGTGATCTCCCGGAGGGCGCCACCACTTCTGGTAACAAGGAGTCGGAGCATATGGTCAATGTGATCAGGGTTTGACCGGTAGCTCCAGTCAAGAATGTTGATGTTTTGCCAACAGTAAGGACCCAACACTGCTTGATTCCATGATTTGCAGACTCTTGGGACGATTGTGAGAGTTTCTTGAAGAGAAAGGTTGCTGAAGATCAAACCAAGTGCATCGGGCAACAGATCTGCCCAGTTCCTATAATTCACCCCTGCTTCCATTTCTTACTTCCCCTGAAGAAAGAAAAAAGCTCGATTGATTCAATGGAAGGGTTTCCATTCCCCAAAGTCAAAACTTGATAAGTTCAAAATACAAAATTCTCATATTCAAGTTTATTTCATTTGACCTTCGCAGTCAAAGATGGTTATATACGGAACGTTATTTAGCTTTCCAGAATGTGGAGATAAAAGATGGGATTTTTGTAAACCAGTTAATCCAGAAAGATGGCTACAAGAATTTCACAAGCATTTTTGAGTTAATAAGTCAAAAAGGTCAAATCTTGACCTGTGTTTTCAAAGAGCTCGGATCGAAGAGTAGTTGGTGGCCAAAAGTCAAGTGACTAATCAAAGCTAGACGAAGACTAGGGCTTTGACAACATGAGGTTTATATAAATTTTCTTGATTTGTTTAATAAAATACCCAATTAAAGAATAGAAATTTGACAAGAGTTGAGTGACTACCAGAAAATGGGTTACTTAGACATAAATCAGAATAAAAATCCCAACTTTAAGAACGAAAGATGGATTCACACATGAGATCTTGAAAAAGAACCAACCTTTTTACCAAATCAAGCACAAAAAGTGAGTTTTGATGCTAACAACCCTCCTTATTTGATGAAATTCAACTCAAGAATCATGAATCAAGGAAAAGCAAGTGAAGTGAAAAGACATTTCCATCCCCAGTCACACCCATCTCAAATCTCAAATACCCACAAATTTCCTTCAATTAAAACCACAAAAATCAAAACTAAATGAACCCCCCATTTCAAAATCCAATGCCATCTTCAAATCAAATTTTCAAAAGAAGGTGAAAAAAAGAGAGAGAGAGAGAGAGAGAGAGAGAGATACCCAGTTGAGATTTGCACGCAATGTTCTCACTTCCCATTAAATGAAGCAACAAAACCAGATTTCGATCATAATCAAGAACCGAAAAAGCATAAAAAACTATGAGATATGTTACCTTTACAAGTAGAATGTGTCTGGTTTCTTTGGTTCAAAGGTCTATATAATGGATCAAACACCAAATAATCAGCCAGATTCCATGGGGTTTTCTTGCACGGAACAGAGAGAGAAAGAGTTACAAGAAATCCAGAGATGGAAATGCAAGATAAGCAGAAACCCAACAATAAAAGCAGGAGAAACAAAGAAGTGAAAGAAATAACAAAGTCACAAAAGTAAAAAGGCTGTATATTTGTATTTGTATTTGTGGCTTGTGAGGATAGAAGAAGTTTACTACTTGCTATTGTATTTTAGTGAGTGAATGCTCCTAAAGAAAATTGTTCTTCTCAGAGAGGAGTAGGTGGTGGTTTTATTGAGCTTGTACTATTTCCAGATCAACAATCTTGAAACCTAGAGTAATGTACAAGCACCAATGCATGGTGCACAAGTTATTATATAAACAGTTTCCTGTTTTTAGGAATCTGGGTTATTGAGAAAGGAATTACCTAAATGAGATGGTAGGGTGGAGTGTGAAACAAAGTCGTCAAATGCTTGTTTCAAGGCGAGAGGGAGGTTAGCTTTTGTGTGTGCCAATTTAATTATTGTGAAACTTTTGACAATTTTCAAACAAAAGTTATGTTTTGACTATCTATAGTCAAATCTAGCATTTATGTTCATTTTGGTTTTACAAACTTCACACCAATGCTTATCTTCTTTGGTATTCTAACAAATCTAGACAAGAAATTTCCATTCACCCAAATTGACATATGATATTATCATATTGGAGTTGGCTAAAAAAACACTTCATTTTACAATATAAACACCTTATTTTAATTTTAAAATATTTTTATTGGTTGAAATTACATTGTTTTCCGAAAAAACTGATTATAAGTAGTTAATTATAGGTTGACTTTTTAAAAAGTGGTCAATGGGGTGTCCAATTAGTGTTTTATTAGCAACTCCCGATAGTATTTTATCCTTTTCATTTTGAGCTTGAATCATTTTGATTTTTAAGGTGGGACAAAGTTGTCTAAGATGATCTTAAAAATAACTTTTATATTGGATGAAATTTATAAGAGTTTATACTTTATACAATTAACTGATTATAGGAGGGTTATGTACAAATTTTGTGAACTTCAAATGTTAAGGTGATTTTTGACATGACCGTGTTTTCGATTTAGTTGAACTAATATAAACGTCTATCAAATAAAATATAACAATTTCTTATTTGGTTGTGCATTAAAAATTTAATAATAAAATTTCTTATGAGAATATTCAAGTTAAAGTTATGTAACTGATTTTTATTAATATTACAAATAATTGATCCAAACGAACTAGGTTTGTTATTAATGTTATTAAAAAAAGGACAGCTTCTCAATTCTTCAACATTTTGCCAAACCACTACCATGTGTCACCTCATTTTTGACATATTTTTTACATAATTCTTCAGCATCTTAGAATATATGGGTGGTTTCAACAAGAATTCTTTTATATTTGTTTAAACAAATTAATTATATAAAAACTAAAAAAATTATTAACTTGAACTGAAAATTACAAATTAAACATTAGAAAATAAAATATAGAAATTAATATTACAAAACATAAAATATATAAAAATAAAACCTATATATATTATACTTTTGTGAAGTCCATTATTTGACATTTAAGGTCAATTTGCGTTCATCTAAGTCACATCTTTTATTTGGAGTTTCATGTCACTAGATATTTCATTCTTTTTTGCAATGTTCAAGTATTAATCCAAAGTACTTTTTAAGTTGCCGGACTCATTTGTTAGTTGATCACTTGAACTACTAATGACCCTTAGTCCTTTCATTTTGTTTGGTCTCTTCCCATTGGACGGTTAGGTCTTGAAACCTCAATAGGGTCTTCTTCTATTGAGGTCTAACCCGACATGCATATCCGACGATTGGTTATGGATGGTTTCATATGTTTTGGTTCATCTAAAACCACCTTTATATCCGTAGTTTTTACTTCACCCCATTTTTTGGACTCTTTCACAATATTCCAAAACTCTAAAAATTCGGTAAACTTCTAAAGTTTTATTCAATATTGTTGCATCATTTTCACCACTTTGTCACTCGTGTTTCATGTTCATAAATATGGCATTAAACTTCATGACAACTTTGTTGGTGTTATTACACTTCGAGTAAATTTGATCTTTTTGTTGGAAAAAGTGTCCAAAGTAATTAACTATTGCTAATACTTATAATAATAGCAGAGTCATTTTGCGTTGCCCTCAAGACTCAAATTGAGTAGAATAAATAAAAGAGAAATTTGTTTATTAATTGTTACGATTTAATAATTAATTAGAGACTAATTGGAAAATATTTTGGTAATTAATTAACAGTTTAATTAATTAAAATATTGAATATTCATTATTCAATAGTCGGTTAATCAGGAGTTCTAGAACCCTTAAGGGATCTAGGGTTGGACGAAAACTCATCATCCCATAACAATTGCTCTAAGAAATTTCCATTCTGAAATCATGGAAGGTGGAGATTTCTAAACTCGAAATCATATCGTTAGGTGATGATGGCTATTTTTTCAAGACCAAATTGTACATGTTCAACTTTAAAATATTCAAAGGTTGTGATTTATGTTCAAGTCCTGCTATAAATTCAAACTTGGTTACACTTATTTCTTTACTTGCAATCTTTGGAGGTCCTTTAATCCTTTAGGTAAGATTTCCATATATCCTTCTCCAAACTAAAACTATAATTAAGTTATATCTTTGTTGCCTGCTTTTTAGTGTTTATGTGTGTGTGTGTGTATATATATATATATATATATATATATATATATATATATGTGTGTGTGTGTGTGTGTGTGTGTATACACACTATAACGTCCGTAGATTCAAGCTAGTCAAGTAAATAAAATAAGCTATAAAACTGACTTTTTATAGAATATTATTTAAGATAAATAAGCTCAACCAAAGTTATAGTGTATGTAACAAGGGTTCTTTACATATAAAGAATGTTTAAATCTGACTTCGTATGAAGAAGTTATGTTTCTTCGAAGATTCGCAATTAAACCGGCACAATTCTGCATATCGTTAGAAGTGAATTTTTGATAGATTACTTTTTAGCCTAAGTGATCTAAATGAATGTCATAGTAATCGTTAAACCGAGAGCGTGCATATAGAGAACGTCCAAATCTGACTTCGTAAGAGGAAGTTATGATTTTTCGAAGTTTCAGCGCAACAGTATACAAATCAAAAACCGAAGTAGAGATCGGTTGATTGTTATGAAAAACAATATACAAGAGATTTGAAGATCTCATCCATATGGTTTTGTCGATATAAAGACAGTCAAGAACGAATATCATATGAGAATGTTATGAATTTTTAACGGACTTTAACAGCCTAAGCCTGTTAAAAATGTAGCTTTAAAAATAAACTCAAAATTAGACGACAGACTCTAAATGAAAGTTGTAGATATCGTCGAGAGCTTTTTGGGGATATAAAGAACGTCGAAAACGGAGCTAGTATGAAGAAGTTACGACATTTTGAAAATAAGCAAATTCGCACAAACAAAGTGCCCGCGCGCATTGATGACGTGGCACCACGAGAGGGTGCCACGTGGCATGGTCGGGAACCGCTTCCTCCGAGAGACTCGTCGACATGGCCCCACAATAACGCGAAACGTGGTTCCATAAGAGTATGACATGTGTCGCCTTCTAGTAGGGGGCGAGGTGGGCGAACGGCGAAGCGACACCTGGTAGAAGCCCAATGGAGCCACCCAGGACCTAGTGTGCGGTACGCATATCTAGAGTGTGCGGCGTGCAAGGTTTTTCTTACGTATGAATAGTCGGCTTCGTATATTCCTTCACCTCCACACCCCTACGCACTTTCTCTCTTGAGCGATCTTACCTTTTAAGCCATTTTTCTCTCGTTTCTGACCTGCGGCAAAGCCCTCCGACACCCCTGAGTACTCGACTGAGTAATAGCCTTCGACTAGGAGATCCCGAGTCAATATTCTGCGCGCTTTAGATTCTGGTTTTCATCAAGTACCTCTGTAAGTTAACCTGCACTTAGTTCATGTTAAGTGTAACTTTTAATTATAGTCATAGTCGTTATTATGTGTAACGCCTTGTTCCGAATTGTTAGCCATTTGGGTGTGGGTGATGATATGTAGATGTTTCGGACATTCGGATTTGGTTTTTGGAGCCAATGGGTATTTTGGTAAAATAGTAGCGGGCTTTTATGGAAAATTGGATTTTGTTCGGGAAATTTGATAGCAAGTATGAGTTGATAAAAGGGTAGAGCTTATCGATACCTTTTCATGGATATAAGGATGGTCGGAATCAGAGTTGTATCAAAGAACTTATGGTCTTCAGAATACGTTAGGGTTTGAGGGGAAACCCTAGTACATGGGGTGTACCAAGGGAGTACGCGGGGCGTACTGATGCGACGGGTGTTACGCCATGCGGAATGGGGCGTACGCTTAGCGTAGTGCGAAGTTCGGATCGGGGTGGAATTTTTGTATTTATGTTACGCCATGCGGAGTGGGGCGTACGCTTAGGTATGTTATCTTTTGCTTTTTTTCGGTTATTATCAGTATTTATGTTGTTTGGATTTTTTGTATCGGTTTGGGTAAGCATCATTTTTGGTTTAATTCCCTGTTATTGATTGAGTCGTATCATTAAGAATTATTATATGCCTTTTGCATGCCATGAATCATTAGTGGGTCAGAAGGGGTTGCATCTTGTTGAGTGGGTTTCAATATGTTCGGTTGTTATTCTGGTTCTTAGTCGATATCGGTTCGCGGGGTATCGTGTGGAAGGTCTATGGTCAGGTTCAGCGTGTTAGTTCTCCAGTATCGTTAGGGTTCCGTGGTATTAGCTTTTGTGCTTGGTTGGCCACTGGGAGTGCCAAGCGAAGTGGCCTATTGCTAAAGTTTTGGGTGTTGTCATTAGTATAGATATGATGGAATTTCAGGGAGTGTTCATCTGGTCTTCAAGGAGTTGTGTAGTCTTTAGGTTTGGCTAGTAATGGAATACTAGCATGGGTAAGCGCATGTTGTAAGCGGTTCAATCCTTGGAGGGTAAGCTGGATTGGGAATCCTTAAAATCTTGTGTGTTGTAAGATCTTAGTCGAATCAAAGTGGGGGAGAACCGTTCGGATATCCGAGAGCGGATTCAGGTGTGAAACTAGGATGAGTTTCACATCTCGCCGGGGAGGAAGGTTGCCCAAGTGGTTGTC